ACTCATTGATGGTGGTCATTACTAGGGGGGTCTTCAACATCAGGGAACTCTGAATGAAGTCGGTAGAATCCCGTGTGCTGATTACAAATATGGAAATTAGAATTGCACTTTCCGAACAAATGGAACTTTCCGTCTCGTCGAAGAAATTCCCAATGAGCGGACGTTGCAATATCAGCTTTTGGCTAACATTTGTGCACACTGCTTCCGTGAATCGTAATTACAGTTTATATCATTGTAACCTGTCGGGTCGCAATCAGCGGTTCCCACCTGCGGCGCTTCCACCAGTGGTTGATTTCTTCCTAAATCGATCTCTACCCGATCGCCATTGGTAGAGCAAGGCAGCCGGACGCGGGCTCGAACCGCGCCGCTCACGCCGCCCCCGACGAATGGCAATGTTACAAACTATGTTTCAGCCTAATGGCCCGAGCTTGAGTAGTCTTGGGGCTACATCTGTCTTCTAAAAACGCATTCTGACCTAATCAGAAGAGCGTAAATATGGGACGAGGCTCATACCCCCCTTCTCATTGGCTCTTCACTCATCGTTATCGTATTTGAAAAGGGGGACATCAATGGGAATCACACAGTAGCAATGAGCCTCCTTCCATTTTTCCACTCACTCGGTAACCGTGAAATGTGTTCAGAATGTTGCCTCTTTGCTATAGCGAAAACCCCGCCATTTCAGAGACTGGCCGCGTCCACTGCTGGAGGTGTTCAGACCGTCACAACCACAAGAACAACGGAAGATGAGGAAGCGATGAGGGTACGCGCGGCAATAGGACGCTTCCCCAACCTAGTCCATAATGTTTCTTCTTATCTGACCGTTTTTCAGAGGCTTGCCCAATCTCGCATCCCTCAGCTCACGAAGCGGGTTACCACCACGACCACTTCAGATGGTTTCGTCCAGGTGAGTTAGACACAAGCAGTGATCTGAAGAAGGTTACCCAAGCTTACAAATCATGAATCTTTCCAGCACGTACATGATGAGCTCGCAAAACCGACTCAGGTAACCACCACAACTCGAAAGGAGGACGAAGACGCGCAGTGGAAGGTAAAGCCGATTGCTCTTCTGCCTAGAGTTCAGGAAGCCATGGATCGATAAATTTGAGCACGAAATTCTGAGCTCCAGACTAATAGCAACCATTACAGCGAACGGTAGCGACGAGGCAAGCAGAGCCGGTAACGGAAAAGACGACGACGACAACGACCCGCCAAGCTGTATACAGGTATGTAGGTTCTTTTGTGATAGGTGTTTTAATGATAAAGACGCAGGACTGGAGCTATTTGATATTATGCTTAAATGTGAGAAAATTCAGAGTTGAAAGGTTGGGCTCGTGCAGTCTACATCAAGCATGGAAAATCATTTACGATAGCTGTTATTTACAAAATAACCTGTTGATTTTATGTATTTTAGTAATTCGTGTTGAAATGGATTCTAGCTCATGTAATTTTCATGAATGATTGCGACCTCTACAAAACGAGATTAGAAACTGAACATAGTCGAGTTCCCTGTGAAGCTGGGGCGTTTCAGGGAGGCTGGGTTTGGCGCGGCGCCAGCCTGTTCTGCACAAGTTGTGGAAACCGGCAGACGACCGAATCGCAGACGCCGCGCCAAACCTGGCCCTCCCCCAAAAAGTTCAAGAATGTAGACAACACCAGCTCCATAACCAACCGAAAGATGCGCAGTGGAGTAGCCCCATTGGCTCAGCTAGGCATACAGCTGGGAATGCGGGGGTTTCGTGTCTGCAGGCTTTGAATGCGAGGGGAGCCTCAAACAGCAGCCCGCACCACCATCGTTCAGCCTCATTTCGGGTCACTAAGGAGGCCCCTTCTACAGCTGAGGACCCGTTCACCTCTCACAGGGCAAATACCAGAATCTTTGAAGTACAGTGTATTTGTAAGGCACGTCTGTGAGTCAGATGAGGTTTGTAGGTATCATCCCGCACTGTCCAACACCTCTTCACTTTAGACCGCCAAGATTAGCTTGCCCATTTCCGGGTTGAATTTTCAAGTTTTCATACCCGCACTAGGCTGAGAGACGAGGAGAGAGTTAATTGCTTGATTCGAGCCATCCTCTAATGATGTGCTCAGAAACATTTCAGATGGGAGCAACACGCCCAGCTGAGACAGAAACCACACAGGTAGAAGAGCGAAAAGAGGAAGTCGACGAGTCTCGTTACCGAGATAGTTTTATCGCGGTGGGTGGATGGAAAGTCCATCAGTAGAAGTCTGCATAGCGAGTACTAACATTTACAGTGACATTAAAAGCATTTTTGCTTACCCTTATCGTTCGTGTGTAATATATTTACATATAATGACTAATTACACTCTATCGTGCGGGTACGGGTGGTCGTGTCACATTAGAACGGTCAAACCGTCAAAGCGGCCACTGCCTACTCTGAACGGGCGCATTGGCAAAACTGTCTTAAAAACGAGCAATCGCCAAACGAATACACAAGTCAATCCTTGCGGCCCTCAACGATCTGGCACAGCGCCCAAACCTATCCCGCCACACGCCCAACCTGCCCGCACGGAACGCACAAGTAACCTTTTCTCAGTACTATAACATTCGGACAAACATTTCGGAGGGTCAGCAGCTGAAAGCGAGGAACTCTGGACCCGACGCGCCTACACCACATCGCCTTGCCCCCACCCACCACCCGAGAATCACACTTCCTCTGAGAAAACCTAACCGCCGAGAATCAAGGAAATCGTACCGGCATCTCTCTTCTACCGGCTTTCCTATCCGCCCTCTAAGAAATCAATACTCCAGAAAACCGGAGACGAACCAAAATCATCCGACTTTACATAAAAGATAACGGTTGGAAGGGAAGTGAAAATAAGTCTTGGAGAAACCGGGGTCCAATGAAGTCCTCGACCAAGAAGTGAAATTCCTTCAAATGACAAGGAAATGTAGGAAGGAGTCCTCGTTCGCGAAGATGAACTATGTATCGTCTCAAGCGCACCCCTTTGAGTCATTTATAAGAAACATCGTTTTAATAGATATGATTAACACGAAACATACTCGTTTTCATCGACAAGGCGCGTCTCGGAGCCATGCCGGTTCTACAAAATTACTGGCGAGGTTTAGGTCTATCAACACTTTGCTTCATCTCATTATCTTACTGCTAACCCATACAATCATCTCGGATTCTGACCCAAATACGGCAATTTCACTCCTCCAGCTTCAATAAAATCATCGAAAGCACTGACTCTGGGAAAAGAACAAATTTTCAGCATACATACTCCTACACTACATCGTAGTGGTAGTCAGCTGACCTGCCAAAACGACAGACATGACCGAATGGAGGACGCTCTGCTCACGAAAGATTCAATATTGGCTTACGGTACAGATAAGCGAATAGCCACACAAGTGAAAAAAACAGAAAACGTCTGTGCGAAATGCCTTATAAAACCCCAATTCTATTCTCGCTCATAACGCTACATAGTTAATATAGAATATACTGGTCGGACAAACTCTCCACTGCCTGTACAGCTCCTTCTCCTTATCAGCTCCCATCCACCCATTCAAAATGCAGAGGAGCTAGAGACGGACGAACCCACCTCCAGGATACGGCCGCAGTGGGCGAGAAGGGGGGCACTTGCCTCCCATCGATGTGCGACCCATCTAGATAGCCTTTTCTCGAGTTGACACGTTTTACCATGGTGGCTAGACGAGCTTGCTCCAGCTTCACAAGAGTTCACAAGTTTCACCAGAGTGAGACTTGTAAACCAGAACTAGTGAAGCAACGAAAGTGCAAAATGCCCCCCCGTCGGCAAACTGCGCCCAGGACATCTTCAGAAATGAATGTTGGGCATTGTATTGGCCATTGGGTGGTGCGGGGTTGTGGCTTCGTTGTGAGCGGGTCGCCCTCTCCTCACGTACCTTTGAGCTACGAAATTGGATCATCTTCCATGCTTGCGGGCAGGACTAACATGTTCAAAGGAGGCACCTGAACATCAAATGAACGAAGCGTCCTTTCAATCCAGAAGAGTGTGGTTTGCTCCCATTCCTCGCTTTTTAGGGTACAATAACCATTGGGTCCCACTCAAAACCATGGAGACAGTTCATTGTATTTCGCTCACAGGAAGAAGTCTTGCCACTAGCCGATTCGGTGCGCTTCAGTCCCGCATAAGTACGATAGCTATCAACTGACTCCGGACGAAGCAAGCTGATGTTTGCTTGACGTGAGCTGTATCTGTACTCTCTTACCTATAGAAACGGGCCAGCGGTGACCTGATAAAGGGGCAAGGTTCCGATATTGATCAATCCCTGTTGAAGTGCGCTTTCCGCTCAGACGATCGTGGTGTGCCGAATGCCACTGTGGTCCTGGGCAGAGAACAATGAATCGCGAGGTCGGGCCGATGTACAAGTCAACGTTTTATCCTGCCATGCGTGTCTGGTATAATATCCGATCCTGATGGTATAGGCGGTTTGTTTGGGCGAGGCAGTAGCAACTTTGATCCCGGACCGTGCTCCTGGTAAACATAGCCTCGTGCCACTGCACCACCACCTCCCGGGAGGTGCTAAGACTCCACCACTATTCTACATCCCTTCGAAAACTAATAGAAAAGTGGAAAAAAGCAGACGTGGGATATTTCAGAATAATCGAGGCTACACGGAGACTTTGACTATGCTACACGTTCGTCCCAAAGCCTTGGTCAAGTACCCGCAAAAGAACGGATATGTACCTCCATCACAAAAGATCACCGAATACAAAACACCTACGGAACACACGACGGTAACGCCGAATTTCTCGAAATATCTATTGTCCGATTGTTTTTTGATCGCTTGAAGGTGACGGAAGAATTCGCCATGTTTGAATATGAACAACGGCGGCCGCAAAAGCACGAGACGACAAGGCTGGTGACACCACCTCCAGCGAAGCGCTTCCAGCAGGCTCACCGGCAGGAAGAGGTATCTTTGACCAGATTGCTAGCGCAAAGAAGACACTTTTCGTTTGCTAGTCTAAAGCAGAGTGAATGAAATCAAGTGAAATGTAAGAAAAAGATTTTTAGGAGCATCTGGAACGGTACGACATGGAACAGCAACAGAAAGCTGCTGGTCATCCTCCTCACTTCACCCAAACGCTCGTTTCGGCTGTCGCTGCTGACGGAGACACGGCCAGATTTGAGGGTATTGTGACAGGTGGGTCAAAACCAGGATAAAGGGATGCGGGTTTTCCTTGGCAAGCAGTCCTTTTCTGGTCGTATTGTGAAGCAATTAGTGAGTGGTCTTGTAACTACCCCTGATGTATAACCAATTAGTGACCTACTGGACAGTCCTTATACGGAGGCCGTCGAACAAAATCTGATGGCTGTACATCGGCACGACCTCGCGAGTCATTGTTCCAGTTGGTCACTAATTGGTTATACATCAGGGGTAATT